CCCTACACAAGAAGGTTGTCAGACAAATTTGCTGAGAGAGCCCGTCCAGGGCTGGCATTCTGTAATGCTAGGTTTCCAATAATATTTGATAACTGAGGCTGAGAACAGAGAAGCAAGAGCAGTGGAATAACCTGCATGTGGCCAGCTGATGTGTAGATGGGGACACAAGCCAGGACTGAAAGCAATTAGGTGAGAGAGTAAGACCAGAGCACCATCCCAGGGGATGCGGCAGTCAACTCCGGTGTTGCTGACGGTCTCAATGAAGATGGGACTCGGTGAGTTACGGTCTCCTTCCTGAAATTTAGTAAAGTCTATGGCCCTGTAAAGTGGCCAGATGACAGGACAGTCACCAGTGCGCAAGGCACTTCCTCAAATCTGGGACCGCCGCCTGCCCATTTGCTTGGTTTTGTGGTTTTTTCATTGCAGAACACGACAGCCAAAATATCTCCCATTCTCTGCCTAACAGACAAAACTAACACGTAAGCCAAGAGACGGAGCCAAGCGCATCCCCAGTCACACACGTGTGACTTCTGACTGTGCAACATGCCAGCACCCCGTTGGGACTGACGTGCTTGAGCGTGCGCTGGGAACATCGAGGGTGGGCCGCGTCTCCCCACAGCACGGTTAGTCCTTTACCTGCTTTGAGCAGGCGTTCCATCCAGTGTTTAACCTGACCTGTGCAGTGGAGGGGGAGAGGAGAAAGGCCGGAGGGAAGTGGGGGGAAGTGAGAATGAAGGCGGCTCCTAAAGGGGGCCCTACTTCTCCCTCCGAACGACCGCTTCCCTGTGGTCACGGATACCTGTGGAGGAGGATGGGAAGAAGGGTTCTCTTCAGGCCGAAACAGGGGTCTCAGGGAGCAGAAGAACGAGACCCTGCTATCTCGTAGACTGGGGCAGGGTGGGGCAGCCTTTGTGGGTACAACCTGGCTGTGAGGGTCTGCGCAAGTGATCCATCTCTCTAAGACCCGTTTTCCTCGTCTGTAAAATGATCCATCTCTCTAAGACCCGTTTTCCTCGTCTGTAAAATGATTCCATCTAAGACTCGTTTTCCTCGTCTGTAAAATGGAACTAGTAAGAGTTCAGATGCGTTAGGGTGATTCTAAGCATTAAGTGACATACTTCATTTACAGTAATTAGAGCAGCTTAAGTGCACGTCAACTGTCACTGTCACCACCATCACTGTTATGCAAAGCCATCAGAGGAGTCCATGGGCTATAAAAAGTGCTTGGTAAGTGTCAGTTATTACATGCGCCAGAACCTCAGTGGCTTCTCCCGTCTTTATAATGATCAGAACCCTCAAATGGAAGATTAGAGTCCAGTCTACGAGGCCTATAGATGATGTATAGAACACTACAATAAACCAACACTTCAAATCCCTTTAATGCTTAACATTTAGCCTTTTAATGAGAAATGCATGAATTTCTGCTGTTTTCCACTCCTACTATTCTAAAAAGCATCCCCAATCACATAGGAGGGTGCTGAGTTGCTTTAAAGCATTTCTTTGAGGCTGCGAACATTTGAAACTTAAAAAAACACACACACACACATAAATATACTTTACGGCATGAAAACTTGGCAATGAGACAGGCTCCGTTTTCAAAACCTCATCACTGTTTCCTGGAAGCTGCACTATGCAGGGCGGCCATGGAATGCAGCCTCCTGCTGGGAGACGTAGGAGACCCTGCCTGTGGGGCTGGACGGCTCCATCTGGGGGGATGCAGTGTGACGGGTGTGCCCAGAGCCCCAGGGAGGTCCTCCCGAGGCCATGTGTATCCATGCTGCCAAGTTCCAGCCGCTCCTGCCAACAGTGACTCAACACGCTTAGCAGGCCTGGCCGGATTACCCTCTCCCTGCGGGCCTTACCGTAGCAGAAAGTGCAGCGCTGCAGTCTCTCTAACGCGGGTGCAGGGTCAGCCCCAGATGGGACCACTATTACCTGGAAGGTGCCAGTGTCGTCAATCTGCAAGAAGCAGAAGCAAGAGAACAACTTAGCGGGCAGGACGGCGAGAACCTCCCAGCACCATTCAGAGAACTGAGATCTGGAGGGGACGCCAGTGCTCCTTCAGGAAGGTCCCATGTGGCTGACAGCACTGCCCGGTTAATCCCCACCTCGCCCTTTAGTGGTATCACAAGCTCTGTTGCCTCTGTTTCCTCATCTGTAAGAGGGGAACCCTCCACTACTGCCTACCCCGGCGACTGAGCGTCCAGATCTCATGACTGTGACGCACTCAGCTAGCACGGAGGCGGTGCCCTGGGGGACAGTGGAGAGCGCGAAGCCCTGTCACAGCCACGATGTCGACCATCAGTGAGCGAGTCTTATCTTCAGCATCCCCGTTGTGCAGGGAGAGCTGCCTCTTGGTTCCACTGTGGCCTAGGCACTGCAGCTAGCTTCCTAGTCATACTTGGGTCCGTGTCCTGGCGGCAGCCTTCTCTGAACAAACTCTGCAGCCCTTTCCAGAGTGGCCCCGGGGTAGTCATTCACTTGGGGAGTTTGGGGGTGGAGGACAGGAGAAGATAAGGAGGTTCCAAGTGAGAAAATTAACGTATTGGTTAACTGACTCAGAGGTAGTTGAAGAAAAATGGTAGGTATGACCCTATCTCATGGCTAAGAAGTGGGTCAGAGGGCTGAGTTTTCCCCTGTGACTCCAGCTGTCCTAAAGCTAAGGATTCCTCCTTTTATCTGGGAAGTTTCCTTCTCATACTTGAACCGTTGGAGGTAGGACTTTGGCAGTTGTGTTTCTATGAGCTCAGCCCATCTCTCTCCAACCAGAGCTGATTAGACAGGGGGTGGTGTTAAATTTAATTAAATCTGGCCTGAGGATGACTCTGGACTTTGAGTCATGCCATTGTGACAGCAAGCCAGCTTAGCATGTACACTAGCTAGAAGCTAACTAGGACCACACTTCAAAAAATGTTGCTATAATGCATGTGCACATGCCCCCCCCCACACACGTGGAAAGTGAAGCAGAGCCCCAAAAGGGGGATGGCCACACTAGCCCCTTCTCCTCCATCTCCCCTTTCGAGACTGTGGGCATGCACACACAGGTGCCCAGCATGCTTTCCCAGCTGCCAGGTCTGGGACTTGAACCATGCAGTTGGTCGTGTGAGATCTAGCTGCCTTAACCATCACGCTACTGGCTGGCCCTAGGGCTGTACTTCGGTAAATGAATACCCCAGTCTCAGCCAGCCACAGCAGCGGAGTGTCAGTCAGTCTCAGGCATCAAACTGATTGGACCATCTGCGAGTGTGTCAGGCACTGAGATGCAGCATCGAGCTCCTTCCGTACAACTCTGCGCTCTGCCAGCCCATGTGGCGAAGAGCAGCTCTCTGAGACTTCTGGTTTTGAGGGCCTTTTTTTTGCAAATCAGTTTTTGTTCAATTAAACGGCTAAATTTAATTTGCCTAAAGTTTTTATTTTAGAAATAGCTCTCTGAGTCATTCAGGCCCATTCTCTCAGGAATTCGCAGCTGGGTTCTGAGGGTAGTGGGTCAGTCCACGTCTCGTGGCAGGAGCTGGCAGAGCTGTAGGCTGGCCACGTTCTAGCTTGTGGACTGAGGAGCAAGGCAGAGGGGAAGGGGCGGGAGGGGTCCTCCTCAGGCGTATCTCTGTTTCTGCCCAAT